CACAATTTATGTCTGTTTGCAAATTCGTATCAGTTATATAATCAATTTACCAATGTTAAATAATACTTTTTAAACTTTTTTCTTTAATGTATTTTTATGTTGGGTGGCTTAGACAGAGTTGCGTTTTTCACACAGGAGGTGCGCGCACATAGTAGACTTCGCATTCACAAACGCGCACATAGTAGATGACACTGTCACACTTCCGTACATATTTTGCATTTGCCATTTCAGCGGTCTTCCGTGTTTTTCATACAAGCCTCCCATGTAAATGGTAAAAAATCGCGAAAAATGAAAAAAATTATTAAATTTTTTTTCTTCAATTCTCAAATACTACTTAACTTTCTGTATCACCTGGTGAAATCGGAATGAAAAAAATCGCATTCAATATCATCTAAATCACGATCTGGACTTTTTTCACTGTTTGAGTGCTCTATACCGAGTCTCCGAGAGTTTCATATAAAGCTGCTATGTGATGCCTATTGAATAGTAAGCGAATACCAATCGTGATTGAATCGATAGGCGTTATTTGGCTATTACAAGGAGAGTTTATATGAAACTCTCGGAGACTGAGTATATTGCACACAACAGTAAAAAAATATAATGCGATCAAGAAGCACACAACAATGAAACTTGTTCAAAAAATATTAAAGACAGAATCTTGAAAAAAGAACATGTGGATTTTAGAATTGTTTCACTCTTGCGTGTTCAAATTTTTCGATTCGTTTTCCGCATAGCATTATTCAAGTTTCTATCTTCTATGTGCATATTATTTGAGTCATGATTTTTCTCAGCTATTCAATTGTAATGCTATATTTTTAGGATTGCAGTAATATCTAATACAATTGTAGTAGCTATTACAGTAATGGTATTACTGCAGTAATGTGCGAAGGGGGGGGGGGGGGTTAACCCCCCCTGTGATTTGGATGAGAAAATTTTTTTCGCGAAAATTATTCGAATTTGCTAGGGTTTTTCACGAAAAAAGTGAAGACCTTTTTTTTTTTTTTTTTT